CCAGAGTTCGAGTTGAAGTTGTTGAATGAAGGAGAATAACCACCTGACATGGCCAGGTCGTTGGGGTCGATACTCGCCCCGCTGTGGCCGTTGCCAAATTGGTTGAAGCCGTGCTGGGCCATTGCGACGGGGATGATAGAGGCTGGGTTATTGTATCGTGGTTGAAGAGTCGGATGTTGTTGCCCTAGCAAGAGGGGGAGGGATGTGGGCGGAATATTGTGGGCGTTAACCAGTTCGGCTAAGGTTGATGGTACGTTTGAGTTACGAAGATCAAGCTTGAACTGGCCTGTTCAGGGCTCGAGTCAGCAAAGTCAGGACAGAGCCGAATGCAAAGCGGGGGAAATGCAAAGTCAAGAAGACCGGCTCGGCGATGGGAAGCGGGCATCCATATATGGGATGCCCACCGCCGCGGAGGTTACAGCAAGGAGGGAAGTGGCGGGCAGATGGCCGGGGTTTGAGGTTTGGATTCATTTGACTCACCAGACAGAAGGTGTTATAGCTGAATTTAGAATTTGGGGAGTACAGAGTGTGCTCTATCTACAGTCCATAAAGGAATAGCGAGTGCCAGGTGAGTGGCGATTAAAGCGCCGCAACGAAAAGTATCCCGGATGGAGTTGAAGCCAGATAAGGTATTGTGGGAAAGATGAATGTCGTGAGTCGGAGGGTCGGAGGGAGACGATCGGGGTTGGAGGGGGTTGAAATGGTGGGCACTGACTGAGTGTAGGACCTCCAGGCGTCCGTTCACTGGGTATGTTAAGGGCCAGGTACCTACAAGGGGTTAAAGCGCTGGGGGCGCTCCCTGGGGGTGCAGGTACTCCGCAAGCCAACAGAGCAGAGAGTGGGCTTGGTCGCTTTGGTTGGAGTACTTTTCAACGCACGGGCGAAAAGGTCCAGTCTATCGTCTGGCACGTACCGTGCTAGCCCCAGTCCAGTGTTGTTAGTAGTAGCAGTCTGGAGATGCTGTTCTGTGGGATGGTCGGCGCGGGGGACACGGCGGTCGGAGAAGCAGTTGAGGGGTTCTTTGTCTGAGTCTGAGTCGTAAACGAAGCTGCAGACTTGGAAAGGATAAGAATAAACCTAGTTGAGCTAGGCGGTGAAGAGTGTTTATTCAGATTCAGGGTTTTAGTGGCTGTTCTTGGAATGGTGAGATGACCAGTCAGCAATGTAGTTCTGGAATACGGTTGTCTGAGTCGCAGCTAGAGGAAGAAGGATGATGGAGGTCTTGGTTTTGGGCGATGAGAGCGCGAAATGTGATGTGTGTGTGGCACCCGAATCAGAAGAGAGGGGTGGCCACGGTTTCGGTATGTCACTTGTACCTCGTAGCTCGGCGCACCTCAGTCGGGACGGGATGTAGGTAGTAGGTAGGTAGGGAAGCAAGATATTCAGAAGGGAAATAAAACAAACGGGCAAGGTCGCAGGTACTAACTATGACAACGACAATAATAAGAGGAACGTGTCAGGTTGAAAGGCCGAGCATTCGGCTTGTATAAGTAAGAGACAAAGATCACTGGGGAGGGGGGGGATGTAGATAATGAGGCTATGATGCGTCGTGCTTCCACGAAAGTCCAAGCGGTTGGTAGGGGTTTGTCTGGGCAGAACAACCGGACCAGAGCATACGTACAGCATGCCAGGCAACCGGACAGAAAAGAAGAATGAATTATTCTACTCACCAAGTATAGTTGAGGCACGCAAATGCGCAGAAGGCATGGAAGCAGCCGTGTTATTGAGCTTGCACAGTCGACTTATATGGATGGGATGCGGTACGATGGCCGAGGCGGATAATGCGGCTTAGAGTAGGCGATACAATAATTCCTTGAGAGGTATACTATGGTAAGTCGAGTCGAGCGGACGAAGCAGGATAAAGTACCCGAATTGTATTCGAAGTGTTGCTGGTGTTGCTTGAGCTGTGGTCGAGGAGGTTGTCCAAATCGGGAAATGGCAGGATGTGGATGTGAGTAGTAGCGGGGCGCCGAAATGCAGGGTTCAGGTCCGTAATGTACGGTGATGTGATGGATGTTAAAGCCCGTCCTCGGGATGATGTGAGGCCGCGCTGAAGCTTAAGTTTGAGGACAAGGAGCAAGACTCGCAGTCGCAACTCTCACGATTGAGGTATTGAAAGTTGAAGAAGAAAAGAAGAAGAAGAAGAAAGAAAAAAGCTTTGCTGTTTGTCTTGGGGTGCGTTCTAATTTATTCGAACGCACAGACAAAGTTAGCGAGACTTCGAGATCGGTGTCCAAACAAGTGTGAGATGTTGACGTTGGCGGATGGCGCAAACACGGCGGCAGGATCGGATACCGTGCATAAAAGATCAAATTGGGCCGGGATGAACGTTCTCGATTGACGGTGACGTTCAAGAGCAAGCGGTCTGACGTCTTGTTGTATTTATGGCGCCTCCAATATAGGCCGGAGGGTCCTGGAGCTGGAGGACAGGTGATAGCTCAGAAGAGAGGGTGGCGTAAGTGTAAGTACAATATGGCAATAAAGTCGGTCAAGGGTCAAGTGCAAGACGACACTTAGTCGTGGCTGATGATCCAAAGGGGGGTTAGGTGGTCGGTGTAAGTGAGTTAGTTAGTAGTCGATAAAGATCCGATACGAACAAGCCCAAGCACCAATGTAAGGGTCTCCCGTCTCTCGTGTTGGTAACTCTCATGAACGTGGTAGGTATGGACGCCGATCAAATAGACTCAACGGATAGCTGCGTTTCCAATGATCAAGTGGATTTCTCTTTTTGTCCTGTTCTTAGCCTTGCTCTTGACATCGACTCTTGCTCGTCCTGCTCTTCGTCTCCTATGGCTGGCTGTGCTTACTCCTTCAAAGTCCGTCTCCGTATGATCAAGTCCCAGATTTTGTTGACAGCTGGAAAGGCCAGTTCAAAGAGTAAGGTCCTTTCTAACACAGCTTCAAGATGAGATCAACAATCCTTGAACCGGAGACTAAGCACCATGGTCCCCTAATTTATACTCCCAGGAATAGGCTAAAAATACTAGCCATAGCCGTCAAGTCAGATGTACAACTCTTATCGTCTCTCGCCCACCTGACATAATGTATTTCGGACCAAACGTAGAGGCAGTGGTCACTGGCCCCATGTAGTTGTATGGAAGCTGGAATTGGACTTGGCTATAGATCCAGAAAGTTGGCGGTAATGGTGGCCGCTATTTTCTGCTATGTCCGGTCTCCATCTGAGAGTTGATGCAAGATAGAAAAGACAGGGGAGGGTGTGGATGCGACTGTGTGTGTGGGCGCCAGGCTGAACGTGACTTGGGATTTAAGACACCAAGCCCAACGTACTGTCTGGGACTTTAAGGACTCATCGGGAATTGCTACATGCAATCGATTCCCCTCCCTCGAACATCTTCTTCTGTGCTCGGTCATGCGCTAGGTGCTTTCCCATCCTTCTTCCCTCTCCCTGGCCACGCGCCCCAGCTCGAAGCCCACCATCATTGTCGCAGAATATCTCGAAGCGGCTGGTTGTCGTGAGAATCAGTGAGCGGAGTGTTTCGGGGAGACTTGACTTAACTTGACTCTTGTCGGCCTGGTGACATTCGTATATCTAGATGGGAGTCCAAAGGTCTCTAGCAGTGTTTTCCACTCACGTTCAGTGTTGTTACATGTACGGCAGAAATTTGGTGCGGGCTCATTCGTCACAGAAGGTATGGTATCGGTCAGACTCCTCTTACAATCTCTCGTCTTAGTTTCCCTACGGATCGTGTCCGGCCCTCTACGGTCCGCTCCTCAAGTGGTAAGTGGTAGCAGTGAACATGGAGCGCTCCGTCCACCCGCTCCTCTCCCGCCTGGACCCTTTCATGTATGTGTATTTGTTTCAACTTCTAAAGCCATGCACTGAAACAGAACATGTTGGCTGTGCCTGTGAAGCCGTGGATGTGTGATATGCGGTTGGCTCTTTTAGCATGGGCAAAAACTATGATCAGCCTCAAGATCTCCGAATCCTCCAGGTGCGTCTCAAGCTCTGTCCTGCAAGGCCCCAAACTCAGCTCAGCTCCGAAAGAGCCAGACAGAAGCTCTGAGCTCTGACTCTGAAGCCTTCCCATCCCTGACCATATGCTTCTGTGTCATGCATGATCCCTCCCGTCCCCGCCAAAAGTGTCCGCTTGAGGCATCCATCAATCAAAGGCGGCCCGTGCAAGGAAGATGGGGGAGCCACAGGTGGCACCAGACCCCCCAAGCCCGTTTCAACTCTCACACAGCCAATCATATAATCTCCTTCTTTGCCCAAGCTCAGCAAATGCTTCTGAGAGGACGGCCATTACAGGAATCGATGGGATCCAATCCAAGGAAAGCACCACACGCCCAACCCCAACCCATCAACTTCCCAGCTTAGTGCCGCCCTCCACTATCTACAACCAACTTCACTCCTCCCCAAACACCCCAAACGCCCCGATAGACCACAGTCCCCATTCTCTTCTCTTTGGTGCGCAACATACTCTGGTCGACTCTTGTCACGCATCTGCCTTTGCTCTTATCGCTACCGCCTTCGCCATTTTCCAGCGGTACGCGCGGTCGCCTGCAAACCCCTTGGCCCCAACACTCCAGCCCCAGCCCCAGAGGACTCGTAGTCCTTCGTGGCTATCAAGGGTACTGTCACCTTGCGTAAAGCAACATCGTCAGCGACAAGTCTAAGCTCTATAGGCGACGGATCGCGGTAGGCAGCCAGCTTTGTCCGCCTTGTTAACTAAGGCTCTGCCTCTATATCATGGGTACTCGTCGACTGACCACATCAACCACGATGCCAGATTTTCCAAGGAAGTGGATATTACTGTCCAAGTTATATTATTAGTTTTTATACGAGGCCGCCTTTGTCGTCCGCCTTGCGTTAATCCCGTCCCACCCTCCATCACACCTACGAGCTCGACCTCCAACCCGAATCTGGATCTCATCCTGAACCTGAACCTGCGCCGCACGATCGACCTAGCCGCTCCGTCCCTGTCCCGCGATCTCTGAACCTGTCCCTTACGTTTCCGCCCCTCTGGTCCCCTGTTGCTATGGCCTCTTCCTCCTTCAGAGACTCGATAAACTCCCTCGGCTGGAGTCGCCGTGATGAACCAGTAAATACTTCTCAGCAGAGCGGGTTGCTCTCCTCACTTCAGAGCTTGAATCCCTTCCAAGGAGGCAGCGGTTATGTCCGTCTACCTACCACCGAGAGCTCCGGTGCACCTCTCCCTGCGCCCACTCGACGTGAAGAAGAAGAAGGCTGGTTTGTTCGTGAGTCAGTCCTGGCAGTTCTTGACCTGTCGTCTTCGAGCACCCCTGCAGCGGGACATGTGCATTGCATCTGAGCCATGCCTTGAACTATGCATGTGATGCGGATGACATACCTCGTGGTTAGTAGACACTAACCCAACTGACAGTTAGTCGATGGGATCGCTTGTTGATCTTTGGTGCTTGTAACCTCGCTGCTGTGGCATGTTTCGTCATCTGCTTCACTCTGTTCCCCGTACTCTCTCTGAGACCACGCAAGTTTGTCATATTGTAAGTCGCAAATCCATGCACAACCCTTTCAGTCTGCCCTCGTCACCCCATATCACTTGTCAACCTATGTCACGCGGCCTCGTTACTGTGAGACTGCCTTGATTGTGACTAGTTTTCCCCATGATATGATGTCCTAGATTCGACATGGTGAATTTCAGAATCCCATTTGGAAACTAATGTGGGGCTATGTAGATGGTCGGTTGGATCACTAATGTTCCTGGCCTCCTTCGCTGCGGTAATGGGCCCCATGAACTACGTTTATCACCTGCTTTCGACTCCTCGACTGCCGTTCACTGCGGCGTATTTCGGCTCTATCACGTTAACCCTAGTGTTTGCCTTGAAGGTGAGGTCCAGCTTGCGATGGGCTGAAGATTTTACTAACATGCCGAAAGCTTCACAGCACGATTCTCACCTTATTCTCCGCTCTCGTTCAACTTGCCTGTCTGCTCTGGTACTTGATCAGTTATTTCCCTATGGGATCTACTGGGCTGCGCTTTGCCACATCGTTTGGTGCAAGGCAAGCAACAGCATGGATGACTGGCTAGAAAAGTCCGTTGACTACATGTAGTGCGGGACTATTCTACTTAACACGTTTCACGATGTTCCTGGGCTCCAAGGACCCAAGTCCTCCTGTACACCAACTGTCTGTCTTGTGTAACATTAACAGCAAATTGACCATAACGCCGTGGATTCAGGCAACAGTGGAATGGTTTTACGAGAACAGCTGTCGATTTAGGATAAAAGCAAATGCCGATGTATAATCTTTGTCATTATATGTACTTATAATTCAGTCCGTGTCTTGTTATGGTATATCCCCAGTCAAAATACTACAGCCATTGTTTGACGTAGCAAGCCACTTTGTATCCTCACACGGTCTTTCTCTATAGTGGTTTCCCATATAATCAAGTCCCAGACTACCTGAGTATGTCGCACCAGTATCAGGCAGTTTCCATGTAGTAATTGGTGATTAGGTAATCGTTACCCAAAAGGGCAAGTTATCAGGTGCTGTATCCAATGAGCAAACCCATATGGATGTATAGCGTTGGTTTGTAATGAAATATGGGAAGATTTTGCAGCCACTCTCACCATAAATGAAACCTCGGAGTTGGAATAATACTACCTAGTAGGTAGTTGGTATGCAAGTATCTATAGCTGAATGGTGATTGAGAATATTATTGTATGAGGTCTGGGGGGGAAGCTCTTCTAAAATTAACTGGAAATTAACCTTAATCAGGTACTAAGGTAGCCAGCTATAATGACGTATGCTGTAATGGCCTCACGTTTAGGCTTCTGCAATATGAAAGTAAATTTATGATGGGGGCGGGGGAATTGCACCAGATTACTGAGGTAGAATGATGTATAAGTCAAAAAAACAATTGGCGCACGAACTACCTCCCTATTTACGATTCGTATCTCTCGATTTAGTATTATTGAACTGCATGACTAGGTACCTAATAGATGCCTTGCTGCCCTTTGTGTAAACATCTGCATAGGTGGTCTTTCGAGATATATGCAAATTCTCATAGAACTTATTTACTCCGCCCGTTAACAACCTGCTGATTTGCTTCTTGGCATGCTCGTGGATCGAACGTGACCAGATGTGTAGCCATAAGTTGAGTAATCTCTAGCCCGTTACCATAGACTCAGCGTCCTGGTTTATGACTTTGTGTATTTTTATCTAGAATAAAGTCTGGCTTTTTGCACGAGCCCCAGGGGATTCATTAAATGTCATACACTCGACCCGGTCAACTGCCCTTTGTGAAAAGAAGAAAAAAACCAAGACTCTTACTAGCTCCGAGTGTGTATATATGCAATGACTGACCTCCAGATTACCCACGCAGATCAGGCTTTCCCGGACAAAGAGACCTGCAGAAACATGGATATGTCTGGTGTGCTTGTGGTAATAACAAAGTTCTACGCATGGAACATAGCACGGCCAGCTCACTGTGTACGTAGCTGGTACAAGTAAAGCAAAACACGCTCAACAGAGGAAACATCGTAAAGCGAAAGGGTAAATAATTGCATGGGTACAGTAACAACAAAGGTACTTCAGAAAAGCCGATTTATATTCGCGCAACTCCACCTATCATGGTCATCCGGCTCCGGGTGAAGAGCTAGCTACTCTACATACTCCGTATTATACCCTTGTTTGCAGGCCTCTTCGGGGTCTCGGATGCCATGACATCTGTCCATGAATGACGGCGGCTTCTAACAGTGAGGTGCATCCAGAGTGGAGCGCAAACGAGAATAGGAAGCCTTGCCCTGCCGAGGCAGATTGGTATGGTGTTCAGTGTCGTCGGCTGCAGGCCTTTATCAATAAGGAAGGCTTCGAGTCAGCGATGCAGTGGCGCTCAAGGTATTGTTACTCGGTGGATATGCAAAACCCCATCGCTGACTTGGGCTACTTAAACAATGCATTCACTGATTATAGTTAGACACATCAGTGATGTAAGTCCTACTAGGCATCTCCATCTGTCAATGACAAACAGCAAATCATGGAAGAAGAATACGATTGGATGTTACAGCACCAATCAAACTGATACTAGTGTTGAGTATATGCAGTATTGTAGAAATAAATGAGCTAAAACTAAATAAGAGGAGGAATAATGATAGCAAAGAATATGAATATCGTTCTGTATGTTCATAGGCGTCTCGCGTACGAAGAAAAAGCAATCAAATAAAATATTAAAAAACCCCCAAGAGCGGAAAAGAATGTCCCTCCATCCTACCAACCCGACCCATTCCCAAGTCCATCTCCCAAGGATTCCCGCTCGGCGTAGCGGTAAGGTACCTTCTAAATCACTTAGTCGCGGTATATTTCTGTGGTACCGCCCGCCTGCCGGTCAGAGAGGGGAAAGAAAGCGCAGGAAAAAAATTTATTATTCACACAACGCAAAAAATAACCTCCGGCCTTCTTTTTCTCATTCCCTGGTATCCGTGTGCCCTCTTTCTGTAAACCACAACTTCTCTCGCCTACTCAATTTAGAAAAGAGTTGCCGCTGAAGATCAGTTTGTATTGGTTTACGAATACTACGTCTCTTTAACTCATCCTTCCCCCCTCCTCCCTCGTCCTTCTTCCCATACCTACCTACCTACCTTATCCTTTGGAATCATTTCTAAACCCACCATCAATCATAACCAAAACCACCCCGCCGCCTGGCCTTCTGCGTTTTCTTCCGATACCCTCGCAACAAAGCAACGTAACAAGCGAATACACCGGCCTTGGTTCTAGTTCGGTTTCTGGTGTCTGATTCTAGGCTCTGAGTTCTTTCAATCGACACGTCGTTCTTGTCCGACACGCTCTTGTTTCCTATTTACGAGAGCAGGCAAAACAGGACAGGAGCATAAGCATTTTTGGGTTTACTGCCTCGAAGTTACCTACTGTTCACACCAATCTTGCACCTTTCCCCCCCCTACTGCCTCCCTTCGTCGAAACTTAGTCGCCTACTGCCCTAGGCTGCCATTTTTTTTCGATTCAATAAACACCTCTACGACGTTGTGGAATCCTTTCCTCTTTCCATCAGAAACATCTGCCACGGCTTCCGCCCACAATCCAACCGATTTACTGGTCGTCCATTTTGGCCTGAAGACCTCGGGTGAACGGACACCTGACTCTCGGTTTTACACCCTCGTACTCGATACGCTTCCCCGAATTTCGACTCGTTGTCCGAGAATCTTATATCCCTGCGCCCTCATTATTTAGAGGTCCACAGACATTCACTGTATCGCACGTAGGTGCTTTGCCTCTCTCCTTGCGTGGAAGGGGGTTGAGAGACAGCCTGGGGTTTTCGATCCCTGAGCAATACATTTGATTTTTCCTTTTATTGCGACCAAGGTGATTTCGGCACCTTCAGCTCAGAACTTTCGTACCAGTTTAAGACGGCAAGCCTGTCCTACGAGGCTCTACCTGAAATGAGTCCATCTGCCATCGTTGAGTCCAACGAAATGGCCACTCAATCGACATTTTCCTACGCACAAGCTGCGAAGGGTCAAGGCACTACCCCTGCTTCGAATCCTACAGCTGTCGCCGATGCTGCTGCTCCTTCCCAGGACGCGCAAGCATCCATTGCTGATGATGATGTTCCGGCTCCCGCAACCGACGTGAAGTCGACTGCTGCTGCTACTGAGCACGTCAACTCTGAAGCTCCTGAGACCACGGAGCACCGCGGTGCCTTCTCTGAAAAGCAAGGCCTCGAGAGTATACCTGGATCCGAGAGCGATGCCCGCTCCGAGTCGACACAAAGCAGACGGACAGACTCGAGGCGCGAAGATGATTCTGGAAGGCTAGAGCGCCCGTGGCGACGAAATGAGAAGACACCGGGGTCATCAAGCACTACTGCCCGGTCTGTAGACGAGCAGGACTCCCGAAAGGCTAGGCGAAATAAGAAGGGAAAGACTTCTGAGAAGCAGCTCAATGATCAGACGACAGAAAAGGAGCAGGAGGCAGCCCCTGAGGCCCCCAAGGTTGAGCTCTCAGAAGCACCTATCCCCAGCGTCAACATCTGGCATAAACGAAAGGAGGCCCATCAGGCCAAGTCTGTCAAACCTGCTCCCACACCTGCTGAAGCTACAATGAATGGCACTTCATCTCGGGATGAGAAGAAGCCTGAGGAATCTACCACAACACAATATACAAATGGCATCAAGACTCAGCAAAAGCCGGCCAGTACTGTACGGCCGGAGCGCAATGGCCCCCGGGGATCGCGGATACATGAGAAGGATGGTAAAAACGAAGTTCCTCCATCCGTCGAGGATTCTACAGCATGGCCAACTCCTGAGACTGCAATCACGGCTATTAAGGAGGACAGCAAGAAGAAGGTCACCGACAAGACACCCGAGAAATCAGACCGCTCTGATAAGGACAGTCAAGAAGATGGCAGCGCGTCAAAGCCCCGACAGAAATGGGTGGCTATGGACTATGTCCCCACAGTCAGCTTCGAAACCCAGCTTCCTCAAATGCGTAGCTCTAAGCCACGGGGTGGTGCTCGTGGTAATCGAGACGCCGCTCCTCGAAGTATGGCCAACGGTGTAGCGGATAAAACCGCTTCTACCGCGCCTGCCTACAAGACCAACGACACCAAGCCTAAAGACAACACCAATAATGCCGCATCGCAAACAGCAGCCGTCAAACGCGGAGCAGCGGATGGTGTTAACGGTCAGAAAAAGGCTCCTGCCAGCACTGGCTCCGAGAAGGCCAGAGATGCGACGGCCCATTCTTCGGTGAGTAATACGATGATGCCCCTGTGGAGCACGGCTACCTCGAGATTGCGCAAGTGCATCTATTGTATGAAACTTATACTGATTGCTATTGGAATAGGAGATTTCCCAAAGTCGAGACAGGCATGACGGCCGCAGTGAGAGAGGACGAGGCAATTACCGAGGACGAGGTGCTCATCACAGCCATTCACAGTCTCAGCATGCTATTTCTGCATCCGGATTCCATGGCCAAGGCGCCAACGCTGCCAGATCTCAGGGTTACAGCCCCCCCTTGCGACAGGGTGGTCATGGTGGCATATTTACGCCTCCTGCTCAGCGAGGCCGTGGTCGTAATGGCGCTAACAACTTCCA